CCAGAAAGGCCCCTGACTGCCGTCGGTGATCGCGGCGGTGAGCACACCGCCGTGGAACCTGCCCTCTGGCCTCGAGCGCCGACGTGTGGTGGTCCAACTGGCCTCCGTTGCTGTAGAGGCCTCCCAGATGGGGTCCGAGTAGCTGGGGTCGGGGGATCGCGCCGCATCTCCCATACATCGGCGACGCATTGCCGATGCATCGACGATGCAGTGGCGACCTCGGCGATTCGTCGGCGACGCCGGCATGGAGGAAGGCGGGCTCCACATCGAGCCGCATCGCCGATGTCTCGGCGATCCTCCGACCCCACCTGCTGCGACTGCGACCCCATGTGTGGGGGCACCAATAGGTACCGATACCGCTACTCCCCAGCCCTCTCCCGGGGCGCGTTCTGACCAGGATCTCGAGGCGAATCCAGCGGTGGCGACGAGGGCCCAGGAGGCCCACAATTGGGAGAAACGAAGGAAGGGTAGCGGTATGGGTACCTCTTCCTTGTCTGATATCTGGGAGGCCTAGAGGTTGTGCCCGGTCATCCGGAGGTCCCTGCTGCCATCGACACGGCGCGGCGGCGTGGGCGCGCCGGCGCTGAGGCCTGCCCCTGAAGAGCGCCGACGCGCGGGTGGCGGGGCGGCCCGCCGCGCCAGGCTGCCCGCCGCACTCAAGCCATGGTCGGCCGCGCGCTCGCCACCGCCGCCGGGTCTGATGTTGCATCTTTAGAGGCCTCCTGGATGGGGTCCGAGCAGGTGGGGTCGAAGGATCGTGCCGCATCGACAGCGCATCGCCGATGCATCGGCGACGTCGGCGATGCATCGGGCGACGTCGGCGTGGGGAAAGACGGTCTCCACATCGAGCCGCATCGTCGATGCATCGGTGATGAAGCGCGATCCTCCGACCCCATCTACTCGGACCCCATCTAGGAGGCCTAGAATCATCGGGGAACCTGGTCTGTCTCGTGGCGCAGCTATCCGTGTCGAACCCGTGTCCAAATACAGATCGGACGCGTCGAATCCGCGGCGAATCCATGTCGAATCCGCGCCGAATCCGCGCCGGATCCGCGTCGAGTCCACAGCGAGAACCCACGTCGGACACAAGAACACTCCCAAGTTTTCGAGGCAGACGAGGCCCCCCCCTAAGATGCAGAGTGACGGGCACCCTCCCGCGCCGGGGGCTGTACGCACGGCGAGAGGCAATATAGGATACGCCGCGGCGCGTGCACTGCACGCGGGGCAGAGGTGGTACGTAACCATGCGGTCTGAGAGCTGCGCTCGAGGAGGATGGTGAGCAGGAGGACTGGCCATCGCTCGGGCGTCCATTCCCTGTGCTTTTTTCGGTTTCGTGCGTGGTTTTTTCGCCAAATGATCAAGGATGCTCCTCGATGGTCCTCGCCGGAAGAAAAATGCACACGTCCGAGCGATGCCAGGAGGAAGGGCGAATAGGAGACAGAATCATCGGAGGTTGGGGGGTGAGATTGACATGGAACGGGGCCCCCCCAGCCGGGAGATCGGTCTCGGTTTCGGTTCCCGTCGTGCTTGACCCGCGGGCGGGGCGAAGCTGCTCGAGGGCGAAGCAGATCCTAGCCCCGTTGAGGCAAAGCGCCATCATCTGTTTCTTTCTCCCCGCTGGTGGGCGGTGAACCCCGGGTTGTCGCACGGTTGTCCGACGATTGTCCCATGGCTTTCCTGTGGTCGTCCGTGTTTGTTTTGTGGTTGTCCCGCGGTTGTCCCGTGGGTGTTTTGTGGTCATCCTGTCGTTGTCCCATGGTTGCCCGAGGGTGTCCCATCTTATGGTAGAGATGATTCACATGCGTAGTGAATCCGCCACATCCCCCCTCATCCGTAGCTGGCTGGTCGGGGAGGCGTTAAACCGTGTCAGCGCTACCTCGGGTCAACCATTGCAAGGTCGTCAACCTCGGCTGGCCGCTCACTCAACAGCCCCCGGACCTGGATCAGCGGAGTGCGGGGAGGGGGGGGGAACTCCACGTGGCTCTAAACCCCTGGGCAGGCCAAGATGACTGGATGACCCCATCAGCGCTGACCCTTGTCACCTGCGCTCCAGGTGGCCTTCGGGCCACAGCTCGGGTCTCACGCGGCCGCCCGGGACGACTCTGGAATCTCCGGGACGCCCTCGACAACTCGCAGCTGCTGGAAGCCGCTCCCAATCCCAGACATTCGAAGCCAGGGTGTCTTTTCCGCGACTTGGACCCCTTGAGGTCCGGGCTCCTTTCGGCGGCGTGCACAAGGGGGTAGGGGGAGGAAAAGGGGGCACAACGGCGGCCCGCGTGATCACCCAGCGGTCGGAAAAAGTAGGTAGAACCATGGAGGAGGAGGAGGAGGAGGAGGAGGAGGAGGAGGAGGAGGAGGAGGAGGAGGAGGAGGAGGAGGAGGAGGAGGGGGAGGAGGAGGAGGAGGAGAGGAGGGGCGGAGGCGGCGGCGGAGGAGGAGGAGGACGAGGAGGAGGAGGAGGAGGAGGAGGAGGAGGAGGAGGAGTAGGAAGGCGTTGGAAGTAGATTGGGTTTCCGCCCACCTCCTGTGTAGGAGAGAAGAGGGAAAACCACGCGACCCTTGAAGTAGGCAAGCGGCCGAAGTAGATGGGGTACCGGGAGTCCCAGAATATACCCATTTTCAACGACCGACGGGCGAAGGGTTTTAGGGGACAAATTTTGGGGTGAAAGAAGGCCTGGCTGCTTCCTGAGCTCTTTGTGCACTCCGTGGGAGAGGATCGTGCATCGATTCTTTTTGTCGAGGGTAACACGGAGATTCTCTTCGACAAAAGGGTTCTGCGTGCATTCCCTTTCTGGGGGGGGGGGGAGGGACACATGGATTTCCTGCGTCGGAGGTTACCAGTTGACTCCTGTGTGTGTGGGAGGACAGGGATCGTTTCTCTCTGTGCCGGAAGAGAAGGGGTCTTTCCCTGGAGGATAGGTCCTCACATTCACTGGCCCCGTTTCCCCCCAGGTGAACGACAAAAACGGGGCCAGTGGATTGAGGGGGTCAATCTTCTGCTTGTTCCTGGGACGTTTCCACCAAGCCGCCTTCATTTTCCTTGCTGCTCCTCTTTCCACCCGTTCTGTAGACCCCTTTCTACAGGAACCCTTATTGATGACCCCCCTATTAAAGGACCATCTACTAAGGAATTCGTCCTAAAAGGGAGCCTTTTTAATGATCCCTTACACAAGGGATCATTCCTGAATGAACCCTATATGAGAAAGCCTTACCGAGGATCGCTTACCGAAAGGTACCCTTACTGAGGGATCCGTTTAAAAAGGGGCATGCGTGCGGCATCCTTACTGAAGGGGCCTTTACTCATGGGAGCCTACTGAAAACCCATTACCGAAGAACGCTCACCAACGGCACCCTTACCAACGATATCATTCGTAAAGAACTCTTCGGAACAAGAATCCGTAATACGATATCCATGCTAAGGGTACCCTTAGTAAGGACCCCATTGCTACAGGATCCTCCCCAAGTGCTCCTCACGAACGGGGCCCTTGCTAAGACCTCCTTAAAACAACGGCATCCTTACGAAAGACTCCATATTGAAGGCACCCCTTGAATAATGACACTTTACGGGAAACCATCCGCAATCGATATTCCTCACTAACGGGTGGGTCTGTACGAACAGACGTTTGCAAAAATGGGTCATTACGGAGGATCAGGGAATAGAGACCCAGGCTAAGGATCCGGTGACAAAGGCACCAGTACTAAGGACTTCTGACTTGAGGAATCATGTATACAGGAAGCACGGCGGAGGACTCCTTACGAAAGGACTCCTTACTAAGGACCCCATACTGCAAGGCATTCTTGCTATATGATCAATACTACAACACATCATTGACACATGATATTTTCTAAGGCCATCTTTGCAACAAAGAACTCGTCACTGAGCTTGGCCAAGTCTAAGGACTGCTTGCTGCAGGGATCCTTACTGAATGAGTCCTTACTACAGGCATCCTCATTAAGGAATCCTTACTAAAGGAACCTTTATTACACAGGGATCCATATTGGGGGCTCCTTAATCAAGGCGCCCTTTAAAGAAAATCCTTGCTACAGGAGTCCTTATCCAGAATTCCTTACTCTAGAACTATACGGTCAATATTCCATACTAAAGGCATCCTTGCGAAGGAGTCCTGACTAAGCGAGCCCTTCACACAACACTACTACTAACGACTCCTTTTGAATATGGACTCCATACTCTGGATCCCTGCCTAAAAGCGTCCTGACCAAGGAAGCCATGCTTCAAGTATCCTTGACAAGGAATCCGTACTACACGCATGCTTTCCAAAGGATTCCTTGCTGAAGGAATTCTTACTCAGGGCTGCTCGCTACATGGGGGCCCTGTTGCGTCGTGGGCGAAATCTTCCCTGGCATCCGAATCCTGACAGAGCTGAGCTGGGCCTCGAGCTCGAGCTGCCTGGGCGCATGGCTCGCCCAGAGCTGACTGCACTCGAGACCTAATGAATGAAAGGACCCAGTTCCGCAGCAGGGCGAAATGAAAAGGGCGAGTCCAAACCGAGGCGAGGTGCATCGAGAAAAGGCAAGCCAAAACGCCGACTGTGACAAGGACGGCGGACGGCGACGACCGCGACAGCGGTTTCAGCTCGGTGCCACTATGTTGGATATCCACCTGCGTGGCCTGGACACGTGACAACACGTGGCTCCAGCTCGGGACCACCATGTTCGATACCCGATTGGGGAATCTGGAAAATCACCAGCCGACAATTATTACACATCTGGTGCCGATGTATTGATATTGTCTGGCTCTTGTGGGGGGGCCCACGCTGGGGCCTCTCAGGGGCAACCATGTTAGATCCCCCTCTTGGGGGCATGGACACGTGAAAGCACGGGGTTCCAGCTCGGGGCCACCATGTTAGATACCCCACTGTGTGGCGCAAGACCCAACTATATGTAGTTGCGGACGCCGTCGTCGTATGCACCGCATTCGGAGGAGTTCCCTGTAGGGCCACGACACATGCGAGGGGTGTGCTAACATGGGTGCGGTAGGC